ATCATCATATGTTTTATGATTATTTAGCATTTCTACTGTGATTTTGCAGTTTGAGTTTTCCTGTCATTTTTGTGTACGAGATACATTTTTGTTCTTTCCCATCTCCAACATCCCTTTTTATTTTATCTACTTAGCATCTTCAGTTTACCATTTTTATCAACAATCTTAATCTTCATGTTCTCATCGTTTTTGCTTTTTCTCCTTTTCAGGTATGGTGTAGCTGCAAACCAATGAAGATAAATTGTGTGCAGCCTTGAAGAAAATTGTTCCGATTTCATCAAAAGTTTCTGCAATTTGGCTTCCATCTGATACAGCAAGGGTATACGACATAGTTTTTTGTATTAGATGAAGACATATTCATTCATTTTTTGATGAGGTATTTTCATTAACTTCACTATTGGTTAGCATATCTTTAAAGTTTATATATTTCTCTTTTTGTATTGCTTGGGTGAATATGAATAAATATAGATTTTAATGAGATTCAGCTAAACATTTCAGGTACCCCTAGTGAACTTGTTAGTGAAGGTTAGTGTGTGTAAATAGTGCAAGAACAGCGACAGTTTGTAGTGGTCTTCCCTGGTGGCTTTCACCTCGAGTGTGTGCACAGGATACCTTATATCGAGTGCGCATTCTTTTGCCAGGCCACAGTACTTTGATAGAGCTTCTTGTGGTAGTTTACACATACTGGGTGTGCTTTTATTGTGCCAATAATTAACTGATTAACTAGTAAAAAGCTTTGTCTTATTATGGTTAATACAAGTGCTTATCCATGTTGCAATGCACCGAAAAAATTACTCTTTCTGGCGTATTTTTATTTTATGACATGCCAGAGACCTCAACAAAACATTGGATGATCTAGGTGATTGACTCAGTCTATGGGAGATTTTGGGTGATATTGAAGGAAAAATAAGGAAAGAAGGACTACCTGACCCTTGTATATTCATATCTCTATTGTAGCAAAAGGCTACAGTGCAATTTTGTATATTTGAAGAAAAATGGGATGAACAGATTTTGTATAGGTTTGAAAAAATACAAATTGCGTCGACATTTGAAATTAACTCTGGAAATTATTTTGTTGTCAAATTATTACTGATTAGTAATATAAAGTTAATGATAATATCTTAAGCTTCATGTAAGATTACTTGGTTAAGGACTTTCTTATGTGATAACCAACACCTGGAAAGGCTGTTTTTTTTTTGTCATTACCCGATTGCTCAGCCACAAATGGACTAGATTTTCAACATTTAACCAAGACCATTGTAATATATATATATATTATATAATAAATATATATATATATATATATATATATATATTATATATATATATATATCTATATATATAAACACTTATAACATATATATATATTATATATATATATATTATATTTATATATATTATATATATATATATATATAATATATTATACACATATATATACCTATCTATACATATATATCCATATATATTACATAATATACATATTTATACATATATATACATTTATTCATTTACATTTATACATATATACATATATATATATATACATATATATATATACATATATATATATATACACTTAATATATATATATATATATATATATATATATATATATATAGATATAGTATATATATATATATATATATACAGATATATATACATTATATATACATATATATATAATATATATATTTACATATATATATACTAGATTATATATATATATATATATATTTATATATATATATATATATATATATATATATATATATATAGACATATACATATATATATTATACATATTTATATAATATATTAGATAATATATATATATGTTATATATATATATATCTATGTTTATATATATATATATATGTATAATTTGATAGATTGGATAGATATGTATATATATGTATATTATGTATATATTGTATTATATGTATATATATGTATATATATGTATATATATGTTATTAGATGTATATATTGTATATATTGTATATATAGGTATATATATGTATAAAATGTATATATATGTATATATATGTATATTATGTATATATATGTATATATATGTTATATATGATATATATTGTATATTATATGTATATATATGTATTATATGTATGGTATAATCTGTATATATTGTATATATATGTATAATATGTATTTAATTATGTATATATATGTATATATATGGATATATATGTATATTTATGTATATATATGTATATTATATGTATATATTGTATCTTTTTATGTGTATATATATGTATATATATGTTATATATGTTATATATATGTTATATGTATATTATGTATATATATGTATATATATATATATATATATATATATATATATAATATAATATATATATATTCTTATTTATATATATATGTTGTGTGTTGTGTGTGTGTATAGATGGTATAGATAGATAATAGATAGATAGATTTATACATATATACATATATACCATATATACATATATACATATATTTATCCATATATATATAAATGTATTTATCTATCTATCTTATTCTTTCTATCTATTATCTTTATATATATCTCTATATCTTCTCTCTCTCTCTCTCTCTCTCTCTCATCTCTCTCTCTCTCTATATTATATATTATTATAGATATATTTATATATATATATATATATTATATTATATTTATATATATTTGTATATATGTATATATGGATTATTTATATATATTATTATAGGTATATATGTTATTTGTATATTATTTTATTTTATAATATATATATATATAGATATATATATTATCTATAGATATATAATATATATTTTTATATATATATGTATATATATTATATATATATATATTATATATAAATATATATATATATATAAATATATATATATTTATATATTGATATAACACCTATATATATATATATATATATACACACCTATATATATATACCTATATTATTTGTATGCGTTGGAATTGTTTCAGTATAATAGGCACATATAGTTAATATTTGAGGTTGGTTAGAGCAGTGGGAATTTTTTTTGTATTCCTTTCCCATAGTCCTTCAAGGCTCTTCATGAGTGCTGTGAGCCTCCTCCATGTTTTCCTCTGGGACGTCGTGTTCTTCATTGATCACAGACCACGAGAGTGACATAGCGGTGCTACTGCGAGCCGAAGAGAAACCTGGCCTTGCAAGTGGTGGAGAAGGAAGAAGAGACTAAGAGCAGAATTATCAGACATTGGTAAGACAGGTGAGTATCCCCAGTTACAAGGGTTCATGCTCTCTTAATTTAATACCCACAAATTATTTAGTATATAGAAAGGAATGATGTGACTATAAAAGTAGAATATGGATTTGTACTTTGGCTTTATAATAGCTTCTCTCTTTTAGGGTTGCAAAGCAAGTAGAGGCTCTCAACCCCAGACTTTCATCGCAAAAAGAAAAAGTCGCTTCATGAAGACGAAGAGAGAATTATGTGTTGAGGTGTGTCGACAGAATCTTTATGTGGCCTTGGTAGAAAAGTGTTCTGTTGCCTTTTGCAGTTATTTTTAAAAGGGGATTTGAAATATTATTTTCTTTCTTTTTTTTTATAGATTTTTACATAAATCTTTGCCTAAGGGTATTTGTTACTGTCCACTGCTGTTAAGTTTTGTGATTTGTTTAGACATCGTGGTTACAAAAGCACTTGGTCTCACAAAGGTTCAAGTTTATAGGCCTATATTGGATAGCATTATACCCTCTTTCCTTGTATTATTGTTGTTTTTTTTTTCTTCTTTTTTTATTCTTTCTTTCTTATATCCATTATTAATGATGTTATCATCATCAGATTTATTGTTAGCTTTGTATTAGGCTTATGGTTGCTTTTTTAAAGTATTATTATTGATTTACTATTGTTCTCATTACTTTTGTTGTTATTATTGTATTATTGATTATTATTTATTATTATTATTAGTATGATTTTATTATTATTATTATTATTTTATTATTCATTATTATTATTACTAACTACTACTACTCTAACTATAATATAATATACTACTACTACTATAATACTAATACTACTATACTACTACTACTACTACTATCTACTACTACTATACTACTACTACTATATTATTACTATTATTATATTATTTATAATTATTATTATTGTTATTATTATATTTTTTTATTATTATTATCATTATTATTATTATTATTATTATTATTGTTATTATTATTATTTTTATTTTATTTTTTATCATTTTTTCATTATTATTATTATTGTTATTATTATTATGCTGTTATTGTTGTTATTATTATTGTAATATTATTATTAGTATTTGCTGTTATTTGTTATTATTTATATTATTATTATTATTATTTTATATTATTATTATATTTATTTTATTATTATTATTATTATTATTATTATTATTCTTATTATTACTATTATTATTATATTATTTTTATAGTTTAATTTTATTGGTTATATTAATTATTATATTATTATATTATTATTATTTTATTATTATTATTATTATTTTAATATTGCTGTTATTATTATTATTATTGTTATTGTTATATTATTATTGTTATTATTAGTAGTAGTATTGTTATTATTATTATTTTATTATTTGTATAGTATTGTATTATTATTATTGTTATTATTATTTTTATTTTTATTATTATTATTATTATTGTTATTTTATTCTTGTTATTGGTATTATTTTTTTATTTTTAGTAATATTGTTATTATTATTATTATTATTATTTTATTATTTTATTATTATTATTGTTATTATTATTATTGTTGTTGCTGTTGTTGTTATTATTGCGTATTATTATGATTATGGTTATTTTTATTATTATTATTATCATCATCATCATGAATTATTATAGTTGTGATAATAAACATTTTTATCATATTGTAATCATAACTCATACTTTTACTTTTCCAGTGCCATTGTGATTATTATATTATCATTTGTATTATTTTTTTATTGTTGGTATTTGTTATTATTGTTATTATTAGTATTAGTATTAGTATGATATTATTATTGGTGATTGATTGATAGATTTTTTTTTTTTTACAAAGACTGTAAGCTTTACATGTGCTTTTCAGGTGACAAATTCCCAAGAAGAGGCTGTGTACTGTCTGGAGCTGCCCCTCATTTTCTTGAAGCTAAACCCTACCCATCTAGATACTGCAAGCTTATGTACACTTTACAGCTTGGTGAGTTATTTTGTTGTGATTTTTGATTTTTTTTTTTTTTTTTTTTTCTTGTGATTATAATTGGACAAGTGTGTATTATTTAGAAATTTGTTATTAGATATTACAGTCCTTTTTTTTTTTTTTAGTTGTTGTTACTCAATTAGGTTGTCTTGCTATGTGATTACACTTTTTTTTATCAATGAAAAGTCCGGAGGCTTGGAGATATCGCTGAAGCAGATGGATGAGCGGATTCACATCAAGAGTGGGAAAAAATCGTTTTTTCGCCAACACCAAAAGGATCAAAAACCAGGGAAACATCTGGACTCTGTAGCAGACTAGTAGTTCAAACCTCTGATGTAACAAGTTGTGGGTTGATTCTTTTCATTCCTCTGCTAAAGTTCTGCCTTGTTTTTTTGAAGAAACTAAGTCAACATTGGAGGTAATGATTGCTACAGTCTGTTGCAAATTTAGATGTCTTTTGTCTTGT